CGTTTAGAGTGTCTGGTGATGGCAACTCGCTTCCGACGAGGCTTTTCTTGTCCGAACAGCCTATCTACTCGAGTACAATGCTATGGACACAACTGAATAGGCAAAGGCATCTTCTCTATGCAGGTACCTAGTCGCGTCTGCGTCCAGCGGAAACTGCTCCTCATACATAAAACATAGGGATGTCATGATACAGTATCGCCACGTACTGTATTTTTTGTTTTAATCAATAATGTATTCGGCGCCACGTAGTGTATTGTCACGAATTGTAACTGTAAAGGCTCGGTCGTGACAGTATTGATAAATGCCAAGCCATTAGGGTGCGGTTGGTTCTGTGGCTCAGAAAGGGGGAGGAGCGCAGGGGAGCTTGCCAGCGGCCTCCAAAACACAAAAGCAGAGTTGTTGCGATGGTTTGGTGGGGATAAGAAGCTGAGATTTTGTCGCTGTGGCTCAACTCCAAAAGGTGTTGTGGCTGGTGAAGACCCTTGTGCACAGCCTCGCCCTGTATCGTTACAATAGAGTACACATCGGACTGTATTTTGACATCTCTAATTCCAAACGGCTCGCCCACTTGAGTAGTTAAATTAAACGACGAACTAGGCAAACTTCTAGACGACCGCAGTTGTTCTTCAACCCCGGTTGAGCCGTTGTGGTGTTACCTGAATAAGCGGCTCCACCTGTAAGATCTGAATCTGTGTCACTCTCGTTTTGTTTCTTCTTCTAAGTTCTCACTCAGCAACGGATCAGGACGTTTAGCAGCATGCACTATGAGGTAGCTAAAGAGTGGGCGTTCAGCCTTAGAACTCACTCAAGGGTTTTATGTGCGGGACTCCACATCGGGTGGCCATGTGGTGGCTGCTCTCCACAAGGGAATAGACAGGGAAGATTCTTTTCGTCCCCAGTCTAATGTTGAAAATTCTCACCACCATGATCTGCTGGGCTCAATTCAGGTTAAGTGATGCGATGTGCGTGCATAAAAAACAATATAGGACCGTTTAAATTACTCTGCGACGATCTTGTGCAGCCCCGTCTCTCGTAGCGTATGCACTACCAGAACCTGTTCAAACTGCATGTGAATCATTCGGCCGGACAATAAACGGAGACTACAGTATAAGTCTGTGCTATTAAACCCTCTATCCTCGAGGGGGCGCATAGCACCTTCAGTAAAGCTCAAAATCGCTCGCTAGTTTCAATAAGAGCAAGTCCCCCCCCCCCCCCCCTCACGCCCCTGACTGGCAAACACCTCACTCCATGGCGGGCGCCAGAAGGCAGCAGAGGAGGTGCCAATTAGCCTTACCAAGGACCGGACCCGACGGTATATCCAGAGGATTCCGACCGGCCCGCACCGGAAAAGACCGAATACTGCCTGTTTCTTGTTACCGATAAATCCCGAGCAATTTCACCCTGCAATGAGGTTTCACAGCACCATGCAGCCGTGATGGCGGTTTCAGCAGCTTCATAGGGCGAAGGGGTCCTCCAGTGAGCCGCTATGATGCTTCTAGAACAGTACTGAGTCCTGTCTAGCGCGCTCGGGCTACACACGGTAGATGCCATGGGAAACCCCATTAGGTGGGTTTTGCGACGCCGTGCAACAAGTGTTCGGCCAGCCTTGTTGCACGACACTTTTTGGTGGATCTTGTCTGCGACAACGTCGTCGAACAAGAAGTCTGTTGTTCTTGAATTTGCTTCACCTGTTTCCATCGCTTTTTGGCTTGTTGTTCAGTTCTTCGACGTAATTACCTAGTTCGGAGATCTCAAGCTGTCGAACAAAAGGTCAACAACAATCATGCTAGCGGCGTTGCGACGGTAACAGTCTTGTTGCACGGAGTTGCGAAACCCACCTATTGGTTGGAACTCCGGACTTTGTATGTCTCATCTTGAGGCACCGAAGGGGCGCTTCCACTGCGCCGGGAACTTGCCGGTCCGCGCTTCGGTGCGATTGGCTGGCGACTGCAAGTGAGACCCGACCGGAAGATTCCAAGAAGGGTTGAAGATCTTCCGAGCGCGAGAGCGCGTATTCGCAACCCGCAACTCACTACCAAGTCACAGAATTCATACAAACTCATTCCTTGCATCTGTTTTCTCCTCGCAGCACTCGTCACCGATCATCTGGACCGGTCGGAGGGAGATGCGAAATGCGGAGAGTGGCTGCGGTGTTAGCCTGTATCTATTGCGGAAATGCCCCATGGACCAAGGGCACTCCTGCTTTTTGGCCGTAGTTGATAGGCCGGCCTACGCAACTGTTGCAGGCGCTTCCGGGACGAGTGCCCGGCAAAATTGTCAAAGCTGGGTGGAGCATTTCAAAGCAAGTCGAATCGTGACATGCATGTATCTGCTCCGAACTTTGGTGAACTTCGTTACTTAATCCATCAATGGCCTTCGGCGTTTATTGTGCTTATACTTATGGGCGAGTAGGTAAATATTAGGTAGCAGGTGGATTCGATGATGACCTGTCATCCGAGCTGTGGTCTTAAATGCCAGCTAGCCAGGCGGATCCCGCTATTAAACTCTGGCGGCTTTGTCAAGATCTCCGAGCTTTCTTAAGCTCCAACCCCGCGCTTGTTGGTTGTGGACAGCTCGATTTGTAATCAGCAACCGCCTGTCAGAGCACCAACGATCACTCACCGAGTTTTGTTCAAACTGCCCGGATCAACAGACGCGGATGCGAACATCGACGGCAAGAACATGAAACCTTGTCGCCGTAGAGCTCAATCCGGCCCGATGATTATCAGATCGGCGTGCGGCGAGCATCTTTCGATAACTCCGCAGCTAACAGACACCCGCCGGACCGGCGCCGGTATCTGGCGGGTCGCCGGACGTCAAAGATCGTACTAAACAGCCGTTAGAGGTTTCGACTAGATTTTACCTCCGAACGAACCAGGTAGATTCTCTGCGGCCTCGGGAGCGGAGCTGTTGATGCTTAGTATTGTGAAGCCAAAATCTACCTGCCCCGGCCCCAGGCTGCCCGACACGCGCGGCCGGACCCTGATCAATATGGTACCGGACTACCTAGTCCCACCTACTCGCCGCACCACATCGGGCCCCGAGCCGTAGGAAATTATTAAAACTTGCGTCATGTTCGATGACGTGATTCAATTGAAGCTGCCATAAGTGTCGAGCGGGTTCAGTCAAGTCAACAGTCAACTACTGCCCTGCACACACCCCGAGACCGTTCAGAGACCGTATTTCACGTACCCTATACATACAACCATAACAATGTCTGCCCCAGCCGAAGCCAAAGCCTGGGTTGTCACCAACAACAAGGATGGTGTCAATGCCCTCAAGCAGGAGACTAGGCCCGTGCCCAAGCCCGACTCTCGGGAGGTTTTGGTCAAGATGAAGGCAGTTTCTCTGAACTACCGTGACTTAATCATTCCCCAGGGGCTCTACCCTTTCGCTGTCAACCTTCCCGTGGTCGCTGCTTCCGATGGTACAGACTCCCTTTCTTGTTCGGGTTTCCAAGGCAAATTCGCTGACTCACAAATAGGTGCCGGTGAGGTCATTGCTGTCGGCGACAAGGTGACGACCGTCAAGGTTGGCGACAAGGTGTCTAGCTTGTTCCACCAGAAGAATTTGGCTGGCCCTTTGAACCCCGTGAGCATCAAGACTGGTCTGGGAGGAGATATCGACGGCTGCCTGAGAGAGTACGCTGTGTTCGAGGAGCACGGAGTCGTGAAGGCCCCCAGCCACTTGAACTTCGAGGAGGCTGCTACTCTTCCTTGCGCTGCCCTCACCGCGTGGAACGGTCTGTACGGTAACATCCGGCCGTTTAAGGCTGGTGACTCCGTCCTGGTTCAGGGAACTGGGGGTGTCTCCGTCTTTGCCCTGCAGGTAAGCAATAACATGACAGCTGTCAATTGGGGGACTTTACTAACGTCTTATGCAGTTCGCTAAAGCTGCTGGTACTTTCGTTATTGCGATCACCTCTACCGACGAGAAGGCGCGCCGTCTCACCGAGATGGGTGCCGATGTCGTGATCAACTACAAGAAGCACGCCAACTGGGGTGAAATCGGTGAGCATCGATTGACCGAAACCAGCGGTATCTCAGCAGCTAATTGAAACTCCAGCCAAGCAGAAGTCTCCCGGAGGCCTCGGCGTTGACGTCGTTGTCGAAATCGGTGAGTGAGCCAGAGTTTCCTGTTACATTGCAAAAGCTGATGATTCATCAATAGCTGGTGAGTCCACTCTCCCCCAGTCGTACGCTGCCGTCAAGATCGAGGGTACCATCGCCTCGATTGGTTTCGTCGGTGGCCCCGGAAAGTCCATCTCCTCCTTGGAGCCGCTTTCCCACGTCTGCACCCTCCGCGGTATCTACGTCGGCTCCCGGGCTCAGATGGAGGACATGAACGCCTCCATCGAAGTCAACAAGATCCATCCCGTCATCGACAGGCACGTCTTCGACTTCGAGCACGTCAAGGAGGCGTACGAGTACCAGCTTGCCAAGAAGCACTTCGGCAAGGTTGTTATCAGGATCTAAGTGTGTTGGCACCGGGAAGGTTTTTGGATGGATATTTAGGGGAATCTGGAATAATGAATGCATGAGGACCGTTTTGAACATGATTTGTTGTCAACTGTGTGCCGGGCGGTGAGAATAAAAAATAAGCATCAAATATGTGTGTACACTCTGTTCATCCAAGCAATCATCTTCATCATCATCTGCCCGCTCTCCAGCATCTGCCGCTTCCACTTTCGATTTCGCTCTCACTCTTCCAGTGGAGGATTTCTGCTCCGTAAAGTTCAGCTACCGCGTCCTTCACCAAGCACTCGAGTCGGATATTGGGAGTATAGACTACGAATGCGATGACTCGAAGGGGGTATTTTCGAAAACCCTAACCCTTATCCTTAACAACTCTGCCTTATGTCTAGATCAACAAGCAACGAAAGTGGACATACCTATATAGAGCCGGTGACCTATTCATTTGCCCATAATGTAGAACGTGAATCACACACTCCGCAAAGGTTTGCAGCTTAGACAAACAATGTGACAGTCTGAACAATAACATCCCCCGTGGCGCAATTGGCTAGCGCGTCTGACTGTTAAGACGCAATCAGGAGGTTGGTGGTTCAAGCCCACCCGGAGGAGTTATTTTTTTCTACTGGGTTTTGCCGTCCATTCTCGTTTTCGACTCTCGGACGGCCGAATGGTGTGAGTTTACCGATTTGAGGGGATGCAGAAGTTGTCGAAGTGCCGCCAGGAGTCAATGATTGAGTTGAGTCAAGGCATGAAAACGACCTGGACTCCTGGGGTTATTGAGGCCCTCGGCAGGTGTCGAAACGGTCGGTTTGTGTATGTATTCTTTTTCTACCCCCAGTGACGAGCTGGTGCAAGCCCTGCCAGTGCTGGTGAGGCGTTAAGTCAAGAGATTTTGGAAATCGAGTGAGGAACTGTGAGAGGTAGCAGTGATGCGCTGTGATGGAGCGGCTATAGTAGGGTTCTCTAGAGTACGAATGTTGTCCTATGTTTGTTTTCCAATAATATGGCACGGAGTCCGACACTTCAGCCGGAAGTGCGGGGCACGCCATGTCTGGATTTTGAGTGGTGAGAACAGCTATCGTTGTCCTCTTCAATCTACCATTACGTTCTCATACCTTGCGATCGGAATCCTGAAATTCTCGAAGCGTTTTTCCACCCGCAATTTGATTCAAAGCGGCGTCACCTTGGAGCTGAGACCGCTGACAAAGTCTCCATTGTGATTAAATATGGACGTCTTTGAGAAAGCCCAAGAATTAGAACCAGCTGCAGGATAACCCCGACACCGACAACGAAGAGGATAAGAGAGGTCGCGCGAAAAGCGGGGGATATTTGCGAAAACTCAAAAATAAGCCTATCCTCACCAGCTGTCACTCCCTCGCCTACTGACTTTTCGAATCTCGCCGAAGTCCAAGTCCCAGCGGCTTGCTTACTCATCCCTCGCGGAAAAATCTAAACTTTTGCATAAGGCGCTCCGCCTTTCGTTCCAAAAAAATACGGTAGTTTAGTTTTGCTCTCACTTTGGTCTTATTTCGAAATTTACCGGTTAGAAACTGTATATAGCTCTGTAATTACGCTTGTAAAGAAAAACGAGCCGGCCCTTAAAAGTACTAGTTAAGGACGGTTGCATCCTCACCAAGGCTCACGAACGCCACGTGGTAAACTGCTTGTTTGCAACATGGTACTATGGTAGACCCAATATTTCCAACCTCGAACTAAAGGGTTTTCTGAAGGACCGATATATCGTTTATATGGCATGTGAGAAAAACATAAAAAATAAAATGCATTCATCAGAGCAGATAGTAGTCGCCAGAAAACCAAACATTGTATTATTGCATGACAATCCCCACCGCCTTTCCCCCCTTAAAGACACAAGAGAAAAACATAAGATCATCAGCGTCTTGACTCTCGGTCCCTACGTCTCCGGGGACTGCGGGTTCGGTCCCGGCTCCTGGTTCGTTTGCGGCCTTCAGGCCTTCTGCGTCGGTCTCGGTCTCGGTCTCGATCCTTCTCATCCCGATGTTTGTGTTCCATGTCCCTCTCGTCCCGGTGTCTAGGCTCCCTATCTCGATTCCTGCTGCGGGATCTATGACGATGTCTCCTCTCCCTGTCCCGGCTGCGGTCACGATCGCGGCTTCTGTGACGCCTGGACCTCTCCTTCCCCTTATCTTCCCTTCCTTTACCCCCCTTGCTCCCTTTCCCCTCATGCTCATCCTTGCCAGCCCTCTCTCCCAGTGGCGCCTCATTCGCGTTGTCCCTATTGGGCACAGGTAGACCAAGCGCAGCTGCAATGGCATCCTCCTCTGCTTGCTTGATGCGCCTAATCTCCTTCTGCCGTTGGTCCTCCTCCGTAGCGCTGTCCTTCGTCTCGCCTTTTGCGTACCAGGTAAGATCTTTGCCGCGTTGCCATCGTCCCACGGGAGCCATCAGCGAGTGGCCAAGGTAGTTCTCTCGGTCTTTGTCTTCCTTGACCGCGTCCCAGCTGAATTCGGCATGCCCACCGCGCGAGGAGTCGCCTTTCCGTAGGCTAGAGAGGAGATCCATGGTGTCCGATACGTACGGCGGTAAGTCTGGAGGGCGATGCAAGCGTAGAAACGAGGGCGGTTCGTTCGTGTGGTGGTTATCGAATGCACCAGCTCAACCCACAAACAAACAGGACAGTAGCGCCAACGCTAGCGTGGTGATGACGTAACAGCAGCAGCTACCCGGATTGAAGGCCAACGCGTCTCTGGGAAACGCGCTAGCCACAGCTTCGCGCCCTTCGCCAATTCCTTCCCTTCCCTCCTTCCTTCCTTGCTTCGTTCATCCAAGTCTGCCCCACCACCTCTTATCCACCTCTTCCGCTTCTTATCCACCACACCCAAACCCCCACCCCGATCCCTCGTCCCCTCCACCAAATCCCCTTCATCCTCCTTAGAACATTGCATCACCAGCTTCATCCCATAATCCCATCCTTCAACATGGCCGGCACTCATTCGCGTGCGAGCCAGCCTCCTCGCCAGGAGATCCCTCTCAAGAGATCTGCCTCTCCGACTGGAGAAGACGCGCCCCCTTCTTCTTCTCTGTCAACCACCACCGAGAACGACCAGTCTTCTGGAAACGCCAGCAAGAAAACTCGTCTTGGTGACGAGTCGACTGATAACAAGCAGGACGCGACGAAGATGACTACCGAGCCCGAACAGCCGGATACCGCGATCAAGTTGGAAGCTGACCAGTCGAACACCGCGATCAAGTTGGAGCCCGAGCTGACCGAACCGATGACATCCCCCAAGAAGGCACCGGTCGCCAAGAAAGGCCGTGCGACCAGGAAGGCGACTCCGTCGAGGGGAAAAGCTCGCAACACGAAGTCCAAAGCCCAAGATGAGGGCGACAACTCCAACGGGGAGAAGACCAGTGAGGCAGTCAGCATCCCTCCGGAGCGCCGCTCTGCACGTGTCCGTGCCCCACCCAAGGACCCCTACGTCGAGGGACTGGTAGCCGAGGCGGAAGCCAAGAAAATCCTGCAGTCGTCCAAGGATGTCCCGCCTTCCAAGGCTGCCCCGCCGTCAAAGGCGCCTGCTAGCAACCGCGGCAGTGGTGGAAAGAAGAAGCGCTTGACCGAAGCGCAGCTCTGGTCGTTGCAGAACGTGTCGACCGAGACCTCTCCGTTTGTGAACACCGATATATCAGTACGTCCAATGTTCCTGTAGTTCAATCCACTCGTGTGCTAATCGTGGTGCGCTAGAAACTGCTTAACGAAGGGGTGGTGTCTCGTGAGAACTTGGGTGATGAGGGATACGACGCTTTGATTGCGTTCCTACCTGCTGACTGGATCATATATCCAGTCCAGGATTCAATTTCGGTCGCTGACCAGAAACCCCTGATTGATCCCTCGGTGTTTAACTCGCCGTATATCAAAGAGGCCATGCGGCGGTACCAGGAAGACCTGGGCGCTGGGTATTACTCCGAAGAGTATCTCGCCAGGGCCGAGAACGCCCGCCGCCGTCGCGTTGCGGGGGAGTTTGACGACTGGAAGGATCGCAACTTCGAGGTCCAGTGGGGACAGCATCAGCGCATCTATCACGGCGCTATCGCGGCCGAGAGTTCCAAGATCAAACTCCAAGAATTGATCAAAAACAACCAGTTCCGGGTTGGAGACGTCTTTAGTCTGCGTCGAACTTTCATTGGCACGTCGGAGATCCGCAAAGATGCCACCGTAAGTTTTTTTCGCGTTGACTCGTCGTGTTGAGAATTCCAAACTGATATTCGGTAGCTCATCGCCTTGGATACGGAGACTGGAACCTTGTCCTTTCGCTATCCTCCTGGCAAGGCTGAATGGTCTCGTGAGGGTGTTGAAGACAGGGTTGCCAATGCTGTTGCCTCCCTTAACGCCTTTGAGGCCCTCTTGCTGAAGGAAGACGGCCGTGCGCCGGAACGCATCCCCCATGGAAACGCCTGGAAGTCTCTTCGTGTGATCCGGAAGGGAGAGGACATCGGATGTATCTTTGATCTCCGGGTCAAGTACTACCACCAACATTACGCCATCAACAAGTAACTGCTCATGCCGAACGGAGACGCGACTGATCATACCCAGTGCTTTCGATCTGTTTGAAATTTTCTTTTCAGGGTGGCGTTTCGTCGGTTGGTTGATGTTTTGCAAGTTGTGCCAGTGCTGGTTTCGACGTGGGTCATTTCAAGGGCGTATTTGGTGTTGTGGCTTTGCGGGATTCTTTCCTTCTACTTGTCGATGTGCATCTTTTTTTCTTTCCTTTAGACGAGGGTTAATGGTGTGGTGGGCGGATAATTGAATCAACTCTCGTCGGTCTGTCGTTGTGCTTTGCGAAATGTGTTTGCGTCGTCGTATCTAAAGTGTATGCGTATCAATCTGCTCATCTTTGGTTTGTTTTCACGAGGCATTGTCATCTAGGACATGTCAGGAGAACCTTTGACTTCAAGTCGGCGCGCCGGCCGGACCGATGTGGCCGAGTGATATGAGCTGTACCACATGGTCGAGAAATACCCCCCGTTTTTGTTCGACGTTTAAAAGCTCCGAAATTACTGCTGCTCTATGGATCCCGTATGTACGCAGATTTCATTTCCAGGACAGGCGCCCTGTGAGCTAAGCCTGGTCTCCGGAGCGGAACCAAGCAGTGGTACAAATAATACATGTCATTCAAGGCTTTTTTCTGGACCGGATACTTTTGTGATTAGAGAAATAGTAATTGAAGCGTCAGTGCCTCCAAGTGCTGCCTATCTACAACCACTTACATTCCCGCGGTGTTGTTGTTGAATTCAGTGTTGTGGCAGGAGGAGACGCACGCCTGTGATCGCACAGCTTCCCGCTCAGTAGGAAAAGTCGTGAAGTATTACAAAGTCGTCCAAAAAGAGGCCATGGTCGGTGGAGATAATCAATTCCTTGGATATGGGAAGAGGGGGGCAAATACAAATACATTGATGCCAGCAACGACCGGTTACGGAGAAGGAGGCACCAAAGATCAAGCCGGACTGGAAACCTGTGGGGAAATCCTATGGCGCTGCGCATCTTGCCGGCTTGCTTTTTGCCTTCGTTGTATGCATATAAGTGTTACAATGAATTGCAAGAGCTCGTTTGCAAAAAAATGGATGAGAGTACA